ACTGTTAATTCTTTTGCAGATGGGTTGGCCAAGCAAGGGGTGAATAGGGAGGATATTTTTTGGGCTAATTTTTAATCTTCTTTCATTGTAATTTTCTGATGGGGAGATAAGACTCTTTATCTCCCCCTTTTTTGTACCTAAAGCTTCATAATTCTTAATAAAGTTTCTGTTATTGATAAAAAAAAAACATTGGTGTGAATTCTTATCAACTTAGTTATACCTAGGGAGTTTTCAAACATATACCTTATTGAGAACTTATTTATTGAATTTTATCTTAGTTTCCCTTATTATCTTTTTCTCTGTGAGTGGACAAATATATATTGTTGGGGAAGAATGGGGAGAGAATCCCCTCAGAAATGACTATGAATAGCATCTTTTCCAGCTTACTATTACTCATGAACATAAGCCATTTACCTTTTTTGCAGCATGTTTTGGAGAAAAATGATTCTGGAGACCATTTTCCTTTGTTTGCTATTTGCTTGGGATTTGAACTTCTTAGCATGATCATCAGCAAGGTAATGAGTCCTGCCTTATTTTTGTTTCTCATTATTTCTGGTTCATTGTGGGAATGATTCTCGGGTTTTTAGTACTGGATTACATGTTGAGTCAAGAGTCATGCTCTTGTGTTGTTCTGTTAGTTGAAAACGAAGAATTTCACATGGCATATCTCAACTTCCATTTTATTGATATAGTTTTCAGATAGTTTATGCCAATCTTTTCTTTTCCCGTGCTTGGCTGTTTGGATCTAGTGGGAGGCCACAATATGACATTATGGTATTTGTTACCGCATTGACCTTGGGATGGATGGACTGATGGATAATGAGATAATCTATAATTAAGTATACCTCCTGCAAGTTTTCTGGGCACTAATTTGTGAATAATCCTTATGAAACCACTCAGGTGTTGGTTTTTGCTTGGAGAATTATGCAGATGAGATTTATTAATATTCCTTTTTTAGTTACTTCTTACTGATTATATGTCAATGGTGTTTTGGCACATGATTTGAAATTCATAAGAGGCATTCTTTCTGTGAACATGGGTAACCATAATCTGTTGACCATAGGAAATCCATAAGACCATAATCTGTTTCTAATCAAAATGAAATTTTGGTATTAGAAATCTAGGAAATCCATAAGACCAAAAAAATAAAGAGTGCTGGAAACCTTAAAGCATGTCATCCTCTGATTTTCTCATTCTGAAAAATGTGTCTATCATATCCAGATACCTAAACATGCCTAGCATACCTGTGACATCCATATGGTGATGGTAATGACATACACTTACCATATCCACCAAGATAGGTGCTCACCTTGCTCTTTTTTTCTGCCTAGGCATAAGTTCAACATGGTTGGCGGAATTTATCATTCATGGTTCAAATCATGAATTCCAAGGTTCCCAATTCTAAATTTACATTTGAATTCTTTTCTGAAAATCTTAAAATTACTATTTGAATCTTGCAATTTAAAGGAGCCTTTTTTTCTTCATGGGGCTATACAATGGGGGATAGCCTGTCCCTGTATCCATAACCCCCAACCCTGGTGACAGTTACTGGAATAAATTTTGTTTACACTATTTAACACCTTTTTAGGAACTTTACTGAGTTTTTTTTTTTTTCCAGCATATGTAGGTTAAATAGAAATAATATGTTGGTTACTTGACTTTGAAGTAAAACTTGATTGTGATGCATACGTGGTAGACTAGCAAACGTGCACATGCTTTGCATGTGGCAATTTTAGATGATGATGATAGTAATTATATGTTTTCAAATTTTTCTACAACTTTTTTATTTTTTGTTTGATATGATAAATGTATAATATTAGAGATGTGCCCAAATGTTTTCTACAAAATTTCTGCATTTGTTTCATGATTTCTTGTGTTTTTTATTATTTAATTATATGATATCAAGGCTTGGCACATTTTCCCAAAAGGTTGAACTGTTGACCTTTATCACCAAATAGAAAAACAATTTCATTTAAGGGTCAATTTTAAATTGTGTATTTCATTTCCATCATCAATAGAGACAGTTCTTGTTTATCACACTTATTTTTCTTTAATATGATATAAAATAATAGTGAACTTCTGTAATTTTCATTTTTTGTGTTTTTATCTTTTTGAAAATTTTATTTAATTCTGACATAAAAAACTTGACACATTTGACCCAAAATGTTGAATTGTTGACCCACCACCAAATAGGAAAACAATTTCATTTTTAGGTCAGTTTTAAATTTTGTATTTCATTTCCAACATCAATAAAGAAAATTATTATTTATTACACTTATTTTTTCTTTAATATGATTAACATAAATAATTATATTAGAGATGTGCCTGTTTTTTCTACTTTTTTTTTTTAATTTTTTGTACTTATTTCTATTTTAAAAGTTTTATTATTTGACTATGACATCATGGGTTAACCCACTTAACCTGGAATTTGCTTACCCATCATCAGGATGAAAGAATGGTTTCATTTTGGGTTTTTTTTTTTTTAAACATGGGTTTTATATTGTTAAAACATATAAATATTGGATATACATCTAGTTGATGGAATTTATTGTTGAGAAAAAAAAATCTTAAATATAGGATTCGATGAGAGAATGAGAGTTAATACATTAAATATAAGACTTAATGAAAAGGAATTGAATGAGGTGAAAAGTTGGTCAAATTACATTTTCTGCCCTCACAATTAGAGAGGGGCCAAATTCAAAAATACGGGTATGCAATCAAGAATATGATTCAATGGTAGAAAATGGGAGTTTATACCTTAAATATAAAACTTGATGAGAGGGAATTGAATGAAATGAAAAGTAATAGTTCAAATTACATTTTCTACCCTCACAATTAGAGAACGACCAAATTCAAAAAATAGGGGTATTTTTGTCAAACAAAAGTTCCACACTCTCATTTGTACTTTATAGCAGTATAGATATAGATATAGATATGATATATAATGTGCATATATTTTTAGTTTTTTTTGGTAAATTTCAAAAACAACAGAAATAACTTGGACTTACATTATAATTCACTATTTGATTTGATTCAATCTTCTCCATGTTTTATGATATGGTTACAAATTTCAGATCATTGGTGTGTAGTTACCCAATCAGGTTTCTTAAAGACAAGGTAGGTGATGCCTTGACAACTATGCTCATTTTTTTTTTCCTGTTTCAAATGCAGGAGTGGTGTTCAAATCTGGCATCATTTTTTCTAGATTGTGCTGGATGTTTTTGTACCTCTAAATTTGAGTTCTGTTGTGTTTCTGAAAAAAATACTTAAAAAATAAATAGATAAGAGGATAAGTGCCTTGACAACTATGCTTTATGATTTTTCTGTTTCAAATGCAGGAAAGATGTTGAAATCCATCACTTATCAAAAAAAAAAAAGATGGTGAAATCCATCATTATTCTTCTAGACTGCTGATTAAATTTACACCTCCGAAATTCAACTTCTGTTTTGTTTCTGAAAAATAATTTCCTCAAATATATAAATAGATAGAAGATACAGATAAGCATATGATTGTCATGACTTATTTCCTTATTTAATATTTTCTATAAATTCTATATATATATATATATAAATATTTGAATATCTTTTGTTGGTTCGGCTGATTTAGTGTTTATGTTAGTCATATTTGTGTCTTAAGTCCTTAGTTATTGGGCCTAAACTTGTTTAATGTTTTATTTGTCTAGGTGTCCCATCACTAATAAGGGGCATTCTAGTCCATTCATGTAACATTATTTTGTAAACATCTATATAAGATTGTAGGGCCGGCTGAAGAAGTAGAGCCACCATTCTCAAATCTTCTTCTCTTCTTCTTCTTCTTCTTCTTCTTCTTCTTCTTCTTCTTCTTCTTCTTCTTCGGTTGCTGTGTTCCAGCAAACATGGTATCAGAGCACTAATCTGTCTGTCTGGTTACAGCCGCCACTTTTCTGCTCTTCTCTATTCCTTTTTTCCTCTCTCTCTTCTATCTTGACTGCTGTGAAGAAACCCTAGGGTTGACCGTAGAACACAGCAAGGTCTGTATCTAAGGTTTCCCTTGGTTGTAGGGCCCAAGGGGAGTTTGTTCCAGAAGTCGATGTCCTACTAAGATCTTTGTGGAACAGATCTAGGTGGAATGACTGACTTCGACAGTCCTAGTACAGATTGTAAGGGTAATCACAGTCTACGACAGCAGAAGTCAAAGCCCAGCCTAGTCCAGAAGTGTTCAACATAGTACAGAGGTGGATTATTCTTGGTTTTAGACCTGTTATGAGGGGTTCTCAGGCTTGTAACAACTTCGGTAAGTCTGAAATAGTGTTCTTTGTACTGAGTTTTCAATTGTGATCATTGTAAGAGGAAGGAGATGTCTTCAATATCGGGAGARGTGTCTTCTAGGGATAATAAAACTGGTGGGAGGTCTCATAATCTGGAAAATCCAAACCTGCACAGCTTGCAAAACACCAGTGTGTTGTTGGATGAATACAATTTCAGAGAATGGCCTGTTTCAGCCATGCTCTTCATTACTTCCCAGGAACTCACGGGTTATTTAGATTGACAGAAGAAGGAACCTGAAGTGGGTAGTGCGGAGTACGCAGTGTGGCGTAAGGAAAATGCTACTGTTATGTTCTGCCTGCTTGCTTTGATGACTCCAAGAGTGGCCAGGACTGTTCAACACTTTCTCATTGCTGCTAAGATTTGGGAGAAAGTTTCTAAAACTTATGGACAGAGAAAGAACAGTGCCAGAATTTATAGGCTACACCAAGACATTGCTGCATTGAGACAAGGAGATATGACAGTTGCAACGTATTTTGCAACTCTAGAAGGACTATGGGAAGAACTTGATCATCATCTTATTCTTGATTGGGAGAATGCAAAAGACAAGGTGAGGCATGATAAACAAATTGAAGAGGGTAGAGCCTTTAAGTTCTTGGCTGGTTTAGACCCAATGTATGAGAGCATAAGGTCTCAAATTTTGGGAAGGGATGAAATGCCAGATTTACATCATGTCTATTATCTAGTGAGGAGTGAAGAGGTTAGGAGGAAAGAGATGCAAGCAGACACTCAAATACAGCCAGTTGAACAGCCTGTTGAACATTCAGCCCTGATTTCTTCAGACAAAAGGCATCTTAAGTGCACTCATTGTGGAGGTTAAAGGCATGTAAAAGAGACTTGTTGGGTTCTTTATCCTCATCTGAAACCAGCTGCGTTAAGGAAAGACAAGAAGCACCAGAAGAATATAACAACAAGTGGGAACCTTGTTACTAGTCACAGTGGTGATAGCTCGAAGAACACATCTACAGTTGCATCTTTTCCCATGGGACAGACTGCTAATTCCTCCGCATCCGGGTCCTTGGGTTTCACTGCTGATGAGGTAGAGGTCCTTAGCCGGGCCTTAACCTAAGGACTAATTCCCTTGCTTCCACCTCCCTTGCCAGATCAGGTATTGTCTCTGCTTATAGTGCAACTAGTTCTATTGACTCTACTTCTTGGATTATTGATTCTGGTGCAATTGACCACATGACACACATGTCCTCTTTATTTTCCTCTTATCAATTGATGTCTAGCCAAGATAAATGAGAGTTGCTGACGGTTCTCTCTCCACCATTTCTGGGAAGGGGGTGGGGTTGACCTAAGCAAGGACCTCTCTCTTAAATCTGTTCTATATGTTCCCAATCTTACTTCCAATCTCTTATCTGTTTCAAAGCTTACCAAGAATTTAAACTGTAGCATAACTTTCTTTCCTACTCATTGTGTCTTTCAGGACAGATTGACGAAGAGAACTATTGGGAGCGGTCATGAGTGTGGAGGTCTTTACTATTTTGATGCAGACATCAGTTCGGCCTTACAAACATCTGCTACCAGTAGTCAGTCCAATGTGGAGTCAATAGCTAGATTACATCTGTGGCATGCTAGGCTAGGTCATTTACCTTTTTCATCATTGCAAGGGCTGTTTCCTGAATTATTCAAGGGTATTTCAAGTCAAAGTTTAGTTTGTGAAGTTTGTCAGTTGTCAAAACAATGTAAAACTCTTTATCCAATTTCTAGTAATGAAATTCAAGCTCCTTTTGATTTGGTCCACTCTGATGTTTGGGGCCCTTCACCTCTTGTTTCTGTAGATGGCTTTCGTTACTTTATCAGTTTTATTGATCACTACTCACGATGCACATGGATCTACTTGTTAAAAGGACGTGATGAAGTGCCACGGATAACCATGGCATTTTGTAAAATGATTGAAACTCAATTTGACAAGAAGATTAAGAAATTCCGTTCAGATAATGCTGCTGAATATTTTGAAAGATCCTTGAACCTGTTCATGGAGGATGCTGGCATGCTACATTAGTCATCTTGTGCTAGTACCCCTCAACAGAATGGGGTTGCTGAGTGCAAAAATAGACACTTATTGGAGACCGCTCGTGCTTTACTATTTCAGCACAAGGTTCCCAAGCACTATTGGTCTCAAGTAGTCCTTACCGCATCATATTTGATAAATCAGATGCCATCCAAGGTGTTGGGTATGAAAACTCCTTTCTTTGTCCTTTGTCCTAATCTTCCAGACTTTTCTCTTCCACCTAGAGTCTTTGGTTGTATATGTTTTATACATGTAAAGGATCCAAAGAAGACCAAGTTGGATCCTAGGGCTACGCAATGAATCTTTCTAGGGTACTCTTCTACACAGAAGGGTTACAAGTGTTATGATCCCGTCACCAAGAAGAAATACATTACAAAAGATGTGGTATTTTTTGAGTCTCAATCTTATTTTCATTCTTCCTAGAATCCTCTTTAGGGGGAGACTAGTGGGATGGAAGAGGATTATTCTTCCCCCTCTTTTTTTGTGCCTCTTTCTGCCTTGGGCCTTCCATCTTCTCCTCCTGATCCTCCTAGTTGTAGCATCCCGGGTGAACCTAGTGGGGCTCCCATTGCACCTGTTACCACTCTTGATGCTGCAGATGTAACCGAGGACACCAGTAGGCAACAAAAAGATATAAGAATCACCTACAACAGAAGGAAAAAAGATCCTCTAACTCATGGCAGCAACCAATCAGACTCAGATCAATCTGTCTCAGCAACTCCAGGTAATCTTATCACTCATACTTCTGATTTGGATCTCCCTATTGCTCTTTGTAAGTCTACCCATTCTTGTACTACCTGACACCCCATTATTGAATTTGTTTCTTATTCACGTTTATCTCATCGTTATTATTCCTTTGTATCTACTCTCTCCTCCATGCATGTCCCTACTAGGTACTCAGAGGCAGTGTCTGATCCAAGATGGAGAGAGGCTATGAATGAAGAAATGAAAGCCTTAATGAAAGCAAGGACTTGGGAATTAGTGGATCTAGCAGAAGGGAAGTGCACT